GACATACTTCACGATCGACTGGACTTCGACTCCTTCATTGAAAACACTCTCGTAGCCGAAGTAGGCAAGCAGAAGCCGGGCTTCAACATTATCCGTCGCCGCATCGCCATCATAATCTCTCAATGGATAGCGATCAAGATTGCGAAAGAGAAGAAGCCTATAGTCTACCAGATCTACCAGCATCTGCTCGACAAGAGCGACCCGATGAACGATCAAGTCGTTCGCATCACTGCTGGAAGGAAGTTTCATGCTGTTGCCGATGAGTGGGAGTTCCAAGCAGACAACTTCCTGCCGTACGCGCCTGTCACGCTCGATAGGATGATGGCGTTAGTGCAGGAGGTTGAGCTTCCAGAGACGAAGATGGCGCTGCTCAACACCATCAGTATCATAGTAGAGAGGCTAGAGCATCACGTAAGTCAATACATAAAATCCCGAGGTACCTCAACTGACTTAATCAGATCACACCGTACGCCAACAGCATCATCTCTCTGTTACCGCCACTCTGGGAACAGTCCGGCGAAGAGCACCTGATGAAGCAGGCTATCCTCACCATTCTCGCCCGTCTGACAAACGCCATGAAAGCCGACTCACGCTCATTCCACGTCTCGTTCCTACCCATCATCCAAAGCGCCATCGAACCTGGTTCAGAAACCCAAGTCTACCTCCTCGAAGACGCACTCGACCTATGGGCATCAATTATCGCTCAAACACCTTCGGCTCCAGAACCCACACCGCCCGAGCTACTCAACCTTCTCCAATACCTCCTCCCTCTTTTCAACATGGACAACGAAACCCTCCGCAAGGCGATTGAGATCACGGAGGCTTACTTGCTTCTTGCACCAGAGGCCGTCTTAGCAGACAACTTCCGTCCCGCCATCCTCTCCGCCCTAGCCGAGCTCCTAGGGAACCTCAAACCCGAAGCAAACGGTATAATGACCCACCTCGTACAATGCATCATCCGCGGCGCCGAAGGCGTCGGCGGAGAGGCCGCCGTAAAAGTCCTCACCGGCGATCTAATCTCCTCGGGCTTCCTAGCAAAAGTTCTAGAGGGTCTCCACGGCGCATGGACACACCACCAATCCCACGGCCCCTACCGCGAACTTCCCTCCCGCGCCGTCGATGGCGTCGTCGAAACAGATTACTTTACCGTCTTGGCGCGTATCGGCCTCGCCTCCCCTTCCGTACTGCTCGAGGCGTTATCCTCGTTGTCGAGTGAGGGGCTTGAGAAGACGATGCAATGGTTACTCGAGGAGTGGTTCAGCCATATTGAGAATATCGGTGACACACCGAATAAGAAACTAATGTGTCTTGTTCTGACGAGGTTTCTTGAAGGGGGTAATGGGTGGATGTTGGGGCGGCTTCAGATGTTGATTGGGGTTTGGACAGATGTGTTGGCCGAGTTGTTGGATGGAATGGATGATCGGAGTCAGGAGTACGTTATTTTGCCCTTTCCCCCTATGACTTCCGCTTGCTAACGCTTCAACAGCTGTCTATACTGGCCCCCAGAGCCTTACCACCCGACCGAACCTGAAGCCCCAGAAGACATCCGCAAGCGCGAACTCATGTACTCGGACCCCGTACACCGCCTCAACCTCGTTGCTTTCATACGCGAGCACTTGCAAAGTGTTATCCAGAGTTGTGGTGGAGAAGCGCGGTTTCAGGAGGAGTGGTTGGGCAGGGTAGACAAAGATGTGCTGAAGGGGTTTGGGGAGCTGGGGATAATGTAGGGAAGGCGGTAAGAAAGAGAGGACAGTTGGTGGAAGACATGCAGGGAGGTAGAGCATAGCAAAGGGATCTGGAGAGGATGGAAATGAGATGGAATGATAAAAGAAGAAACAGATGAAGAAGATCGGAGAGAACGGTAGGGGAGTTGATCTGAGATGGAGAAATAAGTGTATTCGCTTCAGCATTTCCCTACAAGCGGTCTTCCTCCTACAACAGTTCCGCACCACTTCTATCCCGATTCACCCTACCCTACACTACCCTATCCTATCTGCACCTCTCTATTTACCTAATCACCACAACCCCTCAAACAGACCATGCCCTACCCCAAACACAGTACAACACGTCTCGTCCCCCACCCCACCCATCTGGCAGCACAGATCAACAAGCGCATACAAATCCAGCACACCGACACACTATGCCACTACTAGTTGCTTCCACAGCGTCCACGCCTCCCAGTGCATTTTCGCGAGCGTCTTTGGGAGGCAGGCTGAAGTTGAGGTGTGGTAGGGGATTTATGATCTTGTGAGGGAGATGAAGGTTGCTACGACGCCCTTTTCCCAAACTTTGCTGCTCACTACGCTGCTCACTGCATTTGACAGTATGTTGCAGGGTTGGGAGAAAGCGTAGGTAAGGGTTTGTGTGAGGTTGTATTTGTTGTAACGGCGGGTTGTGGAGGCCGAGGATGTGGAGATGGCGCTGGTGGTGGTAGTGGTATACCTAGTTTGTGTTAATGACAAGCCTCCAGAGACGTTGTTAGATGGGGTACGCCGCGTCTCGAGTCCACGAGGCGTCCAGGTTTGTTTTCGAGGTTAATAATATGCGTCCGAAGGTCGGACACACCACCGCGGCAAATGGCGGTAGGGCGACATCGGAACTCACAGATCAAAGTCCAAATCACCCTCCGCGCGTCTCAAAAACTCGTACATGGCCCTTACGACAGCCAGACCGCTACCCTGCGTTTCCACAGTTCGACCTCGACCACGGTCGTTCAGATCGCCCGTTGCACGTGTCTGGATATGTTCATAGTCGATACTCTTGCGAGAGTCGACCGCCCCGTCTGGTAATACAGGAGCCTGTATGGATTCCTTGCTGTTGTGCGAAGAATACGGAGCGCCCCACCATGCTCCAAACCTCCCATTTTCATCTCGTGTTTGTAGCGCGGCGCGGGCGTTATGCACGACCCAGCCCGTATATTCATCACAGCTCTTTTGATGCAGCATCGCTGTTTCTCTGCTGGCTGCGTGTGTTTTACCTGGTCTGACAGGCCGAGCGGGCAGCCGCTCGCAGAAAGCGGTGAGGTGGTGGAAAAATATGCCCTTGAATGTTTGTCCGTTCTGACTGCAGCGGCCTGAAGGATCGCAGACTTCTGTTAGGATGCCCGCGCTTCCGAGACCAGACCAGTTTGCCGGGTTGTATTTTTCACTATCGCGCTTCTGGTGTCGTTGTGGCGTGGTGAAAGCTGGCATAGGGAAGAGTTTCGCGTCCGTCCAGCCCGTGGCGCGTATAACGTTGCGAATAAGTTCGTGCCCGTCTTCCAGGTACAAGATCTTGCCAGTGGCTTCCCACAGGCCTAAAAACGGTAAAAAGTCAGTGCATGCTCCTAAAATCGGATGGGTAGTGTGCTATAATGAAATATGACTTGGCTGTGATTTCTGCTTGAATGTAACTGTATGGCTTCGCAGACTCAACGTACCTCGAAGTCCCGAGAGGATGACACCCTGATTGTACGTGTACACCATCTCGTTCCGCTCATCACACGTCGTTTTACTATGATTCGTGCGATATCCAGCGATGTGAAATCCATCGGCATAAAGTCCCAGCTCATTTGTCATGCCGCTACTCTGAAGCCACTGGTAACCATTCACCGCATTTGCGAGGTAAAGCGGGTCAAAGCGTCCTCGACTATTCTCATCACACTCATCGTACAGTTCATTCTTATGGGGCTTCGATTTATCGTACTGCGAAAGAAACGGCGAACAGTTCTCGTCGCCGGGGAAATGCAGGTACATGCTGATACTTGCCGAGATGAAGAGCTGGTTCGTGATGGCGTTTTTGTACGGTAGGAGGCGCGGGTTCCATGTCATACCTCCGCCGCATAGATTCCAATCCCACCCCTTTTCAGCAAGTTCGTAGAAGATACGTGCGCGGTGAGCGAAGGCTGGTATGAACTGACTGGCATGCCAATCTTGTGCACCCTCACCGTTCTGTTGCCCGAGGCCAGCCGGCGCATAATGCGAACCAGAGTGGTTTTCAATGAACTGAGTCGCTTCCAACCACCCTAATACAACCCACAGTATATCGTCAAACGCCTGCATTCTTATCGCAAAGTGATCCTCTCCAAAGTAATACGCCACAGTCTGCGCAAAGTATCTGTTAATCTCTTCTTCCACCATTTGTGCCTCGGCGTCTAGTTTCCTGTTCTTATCGCATGTGCCCGGTATTGTGTAATCGATTGAGCGGGATAGCGACGAGAGCGTTGCGGAGACATAGGTGCCCATCACGGCAGCTGTCCAGTCTATTGCCGTCGTCCATTTGCCGAGCCACACAGCGAAATAGTGATCTTGCATTATTGAGAGGGCGCAGTGAAGGTCGCGGAGCACATTGGCTTCCATTGTCGTGTATGTTGGCGTGGCGGATGGTGGAGAATCGCTCGACGGTGTGTGGGCCGGTTCGGTGGGTGGCAGAGACGACACTGCCAGAAGTACGCGGAGGATGTTCTGGTTCTCGGCCTGGTAGACCGATTGTTCGAGGCCGATAGCGATCGAGGAAGTCATGAATTCAGCCAGGAGCAGAAACAACACGGTGTGGAGTCGCCAGGACGATGCGACTCGGGAAAACCTCATCGTGGAGGCGGAAGAGCTTCGCACCTACTTGATCGAAGCCGCTCTTCGGCAGGGCGCGTATTGATTCTATGAAATGAGCATGGAACGAATAGACGTAACTAGTGATAGCTTTCTGCGCGATGATGAAGAGGGGATACCGCGAATCCTTGAGGCGGCCAAGCTCACCATGCACGAACGGGTGGCTTGCGCTTGCTCCAGCTTCGAGATGGACGGGGCTGTGCCAAATTAAAAGCGGTTGCATATTGAATTTAAGCGATTGCTAGGCACGATACAAAAAGAAGGGACATAGCTGCAGTTGCACGTACATCACGTGCTCGTGGTGCCAAGTCTGGACTCCGTGTTGCACATCTGCCCCGCTCTTGCGTGGCTCGCAAAGTAGGCAAAATGAAGGATGAGAAGGCACACCAAGGCACAAAAAATGCAAAAAGATGTTGAACAGAGTGGGACTCGAACCCACGCCACTTTCGTGACTAGCAAGTACTGTTGCACCTGAAGCTAGCGCCTTAACCGCTCGGCCATCTGTCCCAGATGTTGTTGAAGAGACTTGAATTTCATATATCTATATTAACATTACAAATTGTGGGGCGAAATCTGCTAGTGGACCAGGAAAAGTTCACATCCAAATAAACTTATGGGGCTGGGCGGAGCGGGGGCATCGAGCACTTTGAACTTAAAGTCTCTACCCTACTAAATGCTGAAGCGCCTTTATGTATCACGTCGATTAAGACTTTAAGGCCTCTTGCTATTTGCTGTCATATCAGGTCACTCCGATACGCGAAATCCGAGCTACAGCAAGCATTTGTGCTTAGATCGCAAGCTTTTCCCTACAAATAACATCAAGTTCCTCGTGGCTACGTGCTACGAGCTAGCAATACACTTTTAACAGGTGCGGCACCGAGCCGCAGTACTGTTTGCCAACTACGTAGATGCAAAAGTCACATACGACATCTCCTTCCCATTACGTCCTGCAGCTTACTTCTTCTCATTTTCTGCTGAATCACCCAGATTCTACACTGGAGACGTGGTTTGGAGTAAGAGACAGAAGTATCCCTTATGTCCGGATCTTGAAATTGGAGGTTGCCGGTACAGGGAAAGCGCGCTAATTTGGCTACCGTCCCACGGCATTGGAGAAGAATTCGACGAAATTCATCTGCATCTTCGATTAGGAATGGTGGTATCTTGCTTGGATACAGGAGGTTGTTGTTAGCCGTGATGTAGTTATGCAGCGTGGCTCACATCAAATAGCGTGGGAAGCTCTTTACAAACTGCTTACCTACCATCCCTTCGGCAACGACGAATTCAGCGACTTCGAACCTCCTTTGTTCGTCAAAAATGTTCAAAGCCTCCGAACGGAAAAGAACACTACAGAGCCAGTATGTACTACACTTGGTATAACTGTGACACGGTTTCGATTCCAAACAGCAACATTCGGATCGGATAGGATATACGCTCTGCTCGGCTTGCTCACAAGTGATAATCCTTCACTCATTAAGCCGGACTACGACAAGGCCCCCGAGGACTTTTTCTGCAGTTTACTGTGTCTTGCCTTGTTCACGATAGTAATTTGACAGTTCTAACATTAGCAATCGGAACCAAGCCCCAAGGTGTAAGCTGGTGTCGAGATTGGCGCTTCAATCACGACAGCTTGTTTGTGATATTCGGATTAGCTACGCATCCGCCTCTCGAAAGAGATTTCTCGGCATTAGGCTCTCATGCTTCAGTTTTTGAAGCTGGTCTGGAGCATCGCATTCTCTCAGTGCAAGGCTACGAGATCGATACAATACAACGAATCAGATATTTCCACCAAAGGGTGGGACATCGCCCTATAGATTGGCACCTGTCGTCTCGGAGCTGGGAGCTTTTTGCTGGTGGCCTTTTGAGCGACGAATATGGATCAGAATCAAGATAGGCCTTCCATCGAACCATCACTAAGGACTGCTGGCGCATCGAGCCTCTGGAATGGAGGAAGAGAATTGTTCCTCGAAAATTACGTTCGCGGAACCATGAGGAGAAAGATTATATGAAAGCTATGGAAGATGCTTGCATCATCCGTCGCTTTTTTATTACCAAGAACGGGAAATTTGTATTGGGTCCGTGGAATTTAAGGAAGGATGACATAGTGTCTTCTCCTGGGAGGCAAGACGCCTATCATTCTGAGACGACGCGACGACAAGGCTTTCAGGAAAGGTCGTATTGGTGAAGTATGGAGGATGACATTGCAAGTGGCAAGGTGGTTGCCAGTTGGTTCCACCTCTTGTGAGATGTCTGGCATCGCAGAATTTGCGTCGCGATACTGGCTTGGAATCGCATGCAAGAGGACGGCAACATTCGGACATATACTCAAATAAGTAACTGCACAAGAACAACCTTGGAAGGCAAACTGTCGTACGATCCTGCGGAAATAAGGCCTTAATACATCCTATTGGCTGACGTCTTTCGACTAACGAAGCGGCGCATCTCCAAGCCTCGACATTCGTATCGTGACCGCATCATCTTCAACGACATTTTGTCTAAATGGCATCGCATACTACAGTCAACTAATCTCTGCAATGCATCATTTTGGTCTTCAGACCAAGCACCATGATCGAGAAAGATTTGCAGCCCCTCACCGCGCAACGGTCGCCGCATCTGCCGATCACCATGTCTCCTGCTAGATCGAGCATGGCTCCTAGCTCGTACATACGCTAGTAGCACCGAACTATTTATCCACCTTCCCTATACATGTCAGCTCGGATCTTGGTATTGCTGGCCGGGTAGCTATCACCGCAGGCGTCATCGTTGTACTAGGTGTTGTTCCTGCATGCTTGTGTAGTATATGTAGGCGGGTGTCTGCTGTTCACCCGACTTGTTGCGCAAGACTAACTCTTCGTACGCACCGCTCGAAGTTATGCGTTTCTCGGTTTCTGTTGCAGGACTCTTGTGCGGCCTTCAGGCTGCTACGGCCCTCCGAGTTGGGCCGAGGATTGCGGTCGAGAGGGAGGAACAGGTATGTAGCGTGCTCACTTTTCTCTTTACCATGGAAGGCAATTCTCTCGCAGAATTTGAGTGGATGTTGAGGCTGGAGAGCATATTCGGCCACTTGCGCGTCAATGGCGTCGAAGGAGAGCTGGACGGTACAAAGGCTTTCGAATTGATGCTAACAAACCCAGGTCCAGGCTGCCAGAGTAAAACGTAGTCTCGCTAAACGCGAAGATACCGACCCCACGTTGCTGTACCCCGAGTACAACATCTCCGTGCCGATCGACTCTTTCCACAATGAGACACGCTACGAGCCGCATAGCAACGAGTCCTTCAACCTCAGGTACTGGTTCGACGATACGTACTACAAACCCGGCGGACCAGTCTTCGTTCTCCTTGGTGGAGAAACTGATGGATCGGACCGTTTGACATTCCTCCAGAAGGGCATCGTTCACCAAGTCATCAAAGCTACCAATGGCTTAGGTGTCATTCTCGAGCATCGCTACTACGGCACTAGTTGTAAGTGGCTTTTCACGAACTGCATGTGAGACCCACACTGACATCGTACCTTTTTTCTCGTAGTCCCGGTGCCGGATCTCACGACAAAAAACTTGCGGTTTTTGTCGACTGAGCAGGCACTCGCAGATGTCGATTACTTCGCAAAGAACGTCCAGTTCGAGGGTGTCGATGCTGACCTGACTGCGCCCAATACCCCTTGGGTCGTCTACGGAGGATCGTATGCGGGAGCGCAGGCTGCATTCTTGCGTGTTCAGTACCCGGAGACTTTCTGGGGCGCAATCTCTTCCTCCGGAGTCACAGTCGCGATCTATGACTACTGGCAGTACTTCGAGCCAGCAAGACTGTTTGGTCCGCCCGACTGCATCAAGAATACCCAACTCTTGATCGACGTAGTTGATGGTATTCTCATCCGACAGAATGACACCGCCAAGGTTCAGGCTCTCAAGGATGTCTTTGGACTAAGCGATATCACCGACAATCGCGACTTCGCCAACCAGCTGACTGGTGTCTATGGACTGCAAAGCACTAACTGGGACCCCGAGCTGAACTCGCCGTCTTTCTTCGATTACTGCCAAAACATCACCTACGTGGAACAAAAGGCCGAGAACCTCCGCCCAGCTGTAGCCGAACTCGTATCAGCGGCCGGGTACCCCAATAGCACCGTGGTGCAAGATATCACGCTCAACGCCATCGCCTGGATTAACAGCACCTCGCTTCCCGGCTGGCGACAATCCAACAGGACCCAAGATTCTTACTTCACGACGCTCAACGCCACTAGCTTTCAGCAATACACCTCACTTGAAGACTACGACTTAACCAGCTGGTCTTACCAAGTATGTAGTGAATGGGGATTTATTCAAACCGGTAACACACCCGCCGACATCATGCCTCTCATCTCCCGCACCCTCGATGTCGACTACCTGACATTCTTCTGCCGCGCGCAATTTGGCATTGAAAGTCCTCCTGATCTCTGGCAAGTCAACAAATACGGCAACCGCAGCATCGACTACGAGCGTCTTGCGTTCATTGGCGGTAATTCGGATCCTTGGAGGCCTGCAACCCCGTTGTGGTACCCAGAGTCACGAAACAGCTCGACGGACCACCCATGGCTATTGATCAGTCACGGCGTGCATCACTGGGAAGAGAATGGTGTCTTTGAGAATCAAACAACGCCGGACTTGCCACCGCCGCAGGTTGTGTATGCGCAGCAGTTCTTGAAGAATTTCGTCGTCGATTGGGTTGAGGGTAAGATCGGATTCCCTTCGCTTTGGAATCAATCAGCTAACGTCTTACAGAATTTGAGCAACAGAAGAGTCACTACGAGCTTTGAGCGCCCAGCTCGCGTCATGTCAACGTGACAGAGAACGAACGGCTCGAACATGTTGGCGGGGACAATTAATATCGATTATCAATGAGACGACATTCCCACTACCTTATTGTTTCCATTGTTGCAGTGTTTTGAAGTTGGCTAATCAACATAGGCAGGGTTGCGACCACTCACAGGCGTGTTGTGCTCGGCAAGCTCGTGACTTTTACTTTGCCGATGACAAAGGGATACGTCAAAGGAAAATGACACCAGAGAACAATGGTGAGTTGACATTTATATGGATTGTGGATTGTAGATCAGGTTAGGTAGTGGTGATGATGGGGTTGGAGGAAAGGAGACTAGGGGTTTGGATTGAAGAGATGGGAATATGTTGGATGTGGATTGAAGGTTGTGGTATGGTGAGTGGATGGAGGAAGTACTTGGCCGGGTCCTCCGGAGTGTGCACGTCAAGATGCCATCAGAGGTAGGTGACGTCATGCGCATTCTTGTAGTCTGCAGCTCATCTGCTTTAAATATACCTCGATAATTGGATTCCCTACGGCGCTTCGACATGAACGCGTAAGAGTAGAGATGGCGAATTATTCGAATGGTGGTTGACGTGTCGTTGCACGGCAGATTGTACCGTGGTTCACTCGTCGAATTTGTACGTTGGAGGACCGGAGATACTTCGACGGCTGTCACAGTGGCTGACGATCTGGTTTGGCATAACCACAACCGGTGA